TGTAGCTCCTGAGGCCTCAGCCAGCCGTCACCACCCCTTCCTGTAGCTCCTGAGGCCTCGCCCAGCCCTCACTGCCTCTTCCCGTAGTTCCCGAGGCCTCACCCAGCCCTCACCGGCCCTTCCCGTAGCTCCCTAGGCCTTGCCCAGCCTACCTTCCTGCTCCCCCCTATCCCCAGGCTTGGTGAGCTGGCTAAGTCACCATGCAGCACTCTCCCAGCTTTGAGCACCCTGCCACCTGCCTCCACATGCAAAGTACCTCCACATGCAGCGCCGTCGCTTTCCTTTCATTTTATGGCAGCCAGGTCCACAGCCACACCTACATTTGGAGGGCAGGGACCCCCCTCAAAGCCCTGCTGCTCAAAGCCCTGCTGCAGCTGCCTCACCCCGCTTTCTTCCTTTGCCCACCCCAAACTGCTTTCCATTTGCCCCATTCCTTTGCTGCACTCTCCCCCACGTTGCTTGCCTTTCTCTCCCATTGCTCTCCTTCCAGTCCCCTACCCCCACTGCTCCCCTTTTGCCTTTTGCTGCCACCACCAAAGCCACCAAAGCAAACTCTCCGCCACCGTTCTTTTTCCACCCCAAACTTCTTTTCCCACCCCAAACTGCTTTCCATTTTCCCCGTTCCTTTGCTGCACTCCTTTCACCAGCTCACCTTTCTCTCCCATTGCTCTCCTCCTCCCCCTCCCCACAGCTCCTCTTTTGCCTTTTGCTGCTATCTCCGAAGCCACTGAAGCAAACTCCCCGACGACAGCGCAGTTCCGAGACATGCTTGCTGCCTCCACTGCTTGCCTTCCCTGCGCGAGCCTCAATGATAGCCCCTCTCTGTGATATCTTTCTCTCGAGTTTATTTTGCAAAATCCGTAGGCAAAAATAGCAGGATAAATCATCCCTTATGCCCTTGAGGTACTTTAATGAAATACAAGGTATCAAAAAAGTAACAATTACCTACAGTTGCTTTTCAGTCCTGCTATGGATATAAATGCACCAAAGAGGTTTTAGAAAAATAACCAACACAGTACTGCAGAAATCAAAGAACTATTTTGGTCATTAAAAATTGTCTAAATTCAAACTTAGGAAATATGTTTGCTAGATTAGTTCAGCATCATAAAATTGCAAGCTTTTTGATTCTCATCCTTCTCCTTTATTTACTTGTTTATTTGTATTGTAGTTTTTGATTATTGCATCAGCCACAATTGAATCAATGGGAAAGCATCCAGCAGAATTAGTCTAGGTAGAGGGATGATTTGTTATCCTATGAACTAATAATCCAATATTGAGGCATTGATAATTCATGATGATATTTTGTTTGTGTTTTTCTCTGACAAAGTCACTTAGATCTTATTAGCATTTTTCAATATTATTTTTTAAAAAGGGTAACAGTTCAGATATATTTCAGAAAATGGCTATTTATTTCTTATTATTTAAAGAATGCAAGTTGTGTTTTGGAAATTACCAGAGGCATTAACAGAAAGTAATGATAAAAAAATGAAGGCATAAAGTGCCAAAACAAATTTTAAAAACTACTATTTTTATGTAGAAGTGGTAAATCATATTATAGAAGCTAATCAGAGTATGTGATAATTTACAGTAGCACATCATCAATAGTGTTTTAGAACGTTCACTGTTTGGAAATAAGTTTTGTGGTATTGAATATTTATACCCCACTGTTCTACGTTTACGCTGCTAGTGCAAATAAACAATGAATTAATATTAAATCATTTAAAATGTTAAAAAGTGGGACAATAAAAGCAACTAAATAGAATGCAAACTAGGCTAAGCAATCTTTTGAAAACTTGAATGAAGGAATTTTGTGCCAAAAACAATGCTAGACATCAAGTATGCCTTTAGGAAGATGATGAATCTCCAAAATGCTGTCCTAATCAACAGGCCCTTCCTGTAAAATAAACAGTGTTTCATCACTTCTGTCATTTATCTTCATTATACAATGATCTGTTATGAAAAGGTAACAGTGCAAGATTCAGAAAAGGGCAGATAATGAGAAAGGCAAGAAAGTTCTGAAAAAACCCTTCTATTTTTGCTTTATTGATATATTAACGCTTTTAACATCGTCAACTACAATAATTTCTAGATATCCTTTAAAAATAGGGTTTACCGCATCACCACAGCTGCTTATTGAAGGAACAGAACAGAAAATTAGATACCATTAGATACTATACCATATTTAATATATGACAAATATTCTGGAGCCAAGAAGTAAAAACTGGAATGAAAAATGGAGAGAATCATCAAGAACCTTAAATATACCAATTTAATAGCTGGAAGATTATGCTAGAAGGGCAACCCAATACAAAGAAGAGGAGGAAGAGGACAAGAAGGGCGAGGGCATATCTGGAACTGTCCTTTTGGGATGTACTTGCAAGAGGCAGGTTGCAAGCTTGGCACTGATTTTTTTACTGCCTTTCTAGGGGGCACGTGATCTTTCCTTAAATCTGGATGATTTCCTTAGGATATTTTGTGGGGTGAGTGAGACCAGCTGTTGTCTTTAAGTGGTGCAAATGAATCTGAGGATTGCTTCTTTTGGGTGTGCTCTTTCTGGAGAGCTCAAATGACCTCTCTGCTAAAGGGTTTTACCTAATGAGCAAGAGTTGGCTGCTGATAGTTATCACTGCATTTTAACTCTTTTAATTCCTCAAGGAGCTCTTGACACCCTGCCTGACTTGTAACTCTGGCTTGCAGGTATTTTTAATCTAATGACTGGTATTTAGGGCAACTTTTTGCAAGCAAAGAAGCTTTTTGTATTTTTTGTACAGGTAATCCTTGACTTACAACAGTTCATTTATTGACCATTCAAAGTTACAATGACACTGAAAAAAGTGACTTATGACAGTTTTTCACACTTATGATGGTTGCAGCATCCCCACAGTCATGAGAGGCCAGGTGAGGAGAAGCGTCCCTTGATGTGAGTGATGTCGAATTGGCTATGCCCAGCCAGTCACATGACCAGCAAGCCACACCCAGCCAGTCATGTGACCACCAAGCCACTCCCAGCCAGTCACATGACCACCAAGACACACCCACAAATTAAGCCATGGCCACAGAACCGGTTGTTAAGAAATTTGAATCCCACCCCTGGATATATATACATGAAAAAGAGACAATCAACAGTAAACAGCCTAACCAAAGAACCTTATGACCACCCCCACCAACACTGAAAGGGCAAGCCACTAGAATATAATCTGAGAGCAAATCCAACTCCTTACTAGCACTGATGGTGTTACCTAGTTTGGGTAATGAAACATCTGCAGGAAAACAACCAAGAGCAGAGAGCACCAAAGGCAACTGAACTACAAATAATCTCTTTCTTGTCTTACGGAATAAATAAAACAGGCAATATGAAGCAGGGAACAATTTCTTTCCACCTCCTGGGCATAGACCAGAAATAGTTGCCAACCAGGTTTAATATAGCCTATGAATCAGATATTGGTCACTAATCACTTTATATATATAAAGTGATATATATATGTGTGTGTGTGTGTGTGTGTGTTTTCTTAAGTTTTTGCGGGTACTTACATGTATGGCATTCGGCTTTGTTCGGGTATTTTCCCACATCATTGTAGTTGTGCTTTTACAGTTGTAGCAATGTTTCGGCAGAATCTCATCTGCCATCATCAGGCTTCTGTATACAGAATGTATATATATTCTGTATATATATATTGTGTGTGTACATTTATTTCAGTAACTGAAAGTTGGACCAGGACTGCAGTATGGAATAATGCCAAAGATTAAAGTTCATAAACAAAGATTAAATTCTGTATGAGAGCTCTTGGTAAAAGATATTATAACTTATTTATGTCATATATAAAATCATGATCTCCTCTAGCACAAATGCACACTCTATCATTAAGGTATGAATACCATTTCCAGCCTTTGTCAAATTGATCAGTTACTAATTGTGTACTAAAGTAGTGCATTCTATTTTAGGATGCCACTGAAGACTCATAATTATTCCACCTCATAAAATGTCATCGTGCAGAGATTCTAACATAAAAATGAACTTAATAGGAGAGAGGAAGAATGACATTGTCAGGCTACAGAACTTTTTCCCATTCAATTAACAAGCATGAACTTCTGAAAA